CATGACCGCAGTCTAGTATTAGTTTGAGATATTTTGTTTAAGATGGAACACGTGACAGAGGCTCGGGCAACTTCTGCGAAACGTAAATGATGGCCCCGCCATAGCCGGAAGCCACTACACGGCCATGGTCAGCGCGGCTGACCGTCAGTGGTGCAACTTCAATGATTGGGCAGGAAGTGCCAATGGAGTTCAATATTGTCTAACCGTGCCTTCATGATAGCAGTCTGTTATTCATTTGGGATATTTCAATTTAGGTGGAATCGGTACAGGCAAGAGTACTTTGCTTGGAAATCTAGCGACCCACGGCAGATTACGAATAGTTCAGGAACCAGTGGAACAATAGCAAGCCCAAGAGAGATACAACTTTCTAGAAACTATCGGCAGCGACACTTGGGCTTTTCCATTTCAAGTCCTCGCCATGACTACAATCGGGGATGCTTATCCTAATTGGCTGAGCGATAGCGAAGCCCGTTACTCCAGTGGGGTTGAAAAGTTTTGTATGTCTGTCTGTCTGTCTGGTTGTCTGTCTGTCTGCGCGGTGTGTGTGTGTGTGTGTGCACTACTCCTCCTGAACGGCTCGGCCGATCTGGCTGAGATTTTGCAGGGTCATTAGGTATGTCCTTGGCTCGCCACACACCAAAATGCAGCTTTCTATCTCAATCCATTCGGTCATATCAGCCAAAAAACACTTCAAAACGACAGAAAAAAGACAACTTTTTTGGTACTTTCAACTTTTTGTCAAGTTTCATATCGATTCATATGTTTTTGAGGCTGCTGATGACGAAAATAGAACCCGTTCGGGCCACCGATCGAAAGATAAATCCCATTGGTGTAGATTTTGATGACCAAATACTATTTTTTGAGGGGATCACGCCCATCTCTCCGGCCAGCCAAGGGAAGCAGCCTGCCGGAGGCAGGTTAGCGCCGCAGGCCAAGGTAGGTGAATACACCAGGCGTGGATAGTCGAAGCTGGCGCAACATCGCGAAGCCTGTTACGACCAGACACGGTCTGGCGTACACCTACCTTGTAATTCGCTGAACGATAGCGAAACCCGTTGCTCGGGTGGGGCCGAAAAGTTTTTTCAACTTGACCGTGTGCGTGTCTGTGTGTCTTCACTACTCCTCCTAAGCGGCTCGGCCGATTCGGCTGAGATTTTGCAAGGCTAATATATTGGATATGGCCTTGGCTCACCACAGACCAAAATTCAGCTTACTATCTCAATTTCCCCATTTATAGCAAGTTAAAAACACCTCCAAAACGGCAGAAATGGTTAAGATTTACATGGGCGGGAGGAGGATATTGGCTGTAATGGTGTTAGCACTGCATGTAGGGGTATGTTTAGAATCGGGGCCACCAGACAAATGTAATGGACCTGGTTCCGACAATATCAGCCGCTTCTTGGTCACAACAGGATCTTGGAAAAAGGGGGCCGACCGACTAAAACATGTCATTGCGGCTTCCGTTTAGTCTCGTCAAGACTTTTTCAATGAGGGGTCGGAAAGATGGCCTAGGTGCCCGACTCAGGATCTTGGGAGAAGGGGGTCGACCGACTGAAAATTTTTTATGTAGTAAGCGACTTAACCTCCACCACAAAGTGCTCTACTCATTGCTTTCACTGAAATATCTTGGAAGTTTGCCGAAGGCAAGCATGAAGCGCCGCAGGCCACTGTTAAAAAAATGCTGTAAATTAACAAGACTTATGCTGTTTAGTTTGATAGCAACACGTCTTGTTTTAATACAAGCATGTTGCAGCCCTCGGTGCTGTTTTCTGACAGTCCGATTGTAATGAAACTATACTTCTTTGGAATCTTCGATGTGTTCGCAATATACCCTTGTTACCTGACAACAATATATGTTCGAAGATGGCACAAAGTCTGTTTCTAAACATGAAACCTGTTCAACAACAGAACTGTTTTTAATCACGATTACATCATTGTTACTTGACGAGGAGGAAGTTGTTACAAAACAAAACTGTTGTCTATGAATAGATTTCCCGTTCAGACACAAAACAAAACTGTTGTTTTTGTACGAGATTGTGTTGTAATATTACAGAGAATTTTTAACAGTGCAAGGTAGGCAAAAACATCAGGCGTGGATTGTCGTAACTGGCGTAGCATCGCAGAACCTGTTACGAAAAGACAAGGTCTGGCGTACACCTGCTTTGTTGTAGTATTCAATGTATTTACGCTTAGCGCCCTCCAAATGTTTGGACATGTGCACTTGGATCAAAACAATCTCTGAAAGGAACATCCTGTTTTTCTCATATCACCATTCTACCTCTCACAAAAATTCTAAAAACGCCTAGAACACTTGTACTACTTACATACAACACCACAAATTGCATACGCTCATATGCACTGGGAGAAAAAAATGAAGATTGTGGCTGTTGAACCTAATGCCTCTTCACTGTTCGTCGAAAGAAGGTACCGTGGGATACAGAAGACACTGTGGCTCGAGGAACGGCGTCCACTGTTCCCTGGGGGCCCGCATCCACTGTACCTTGGGAACTGTTCAGACTCGGCGTTCGGTGTAACTGTAAATTAAAGGCAAAATTTCAAAATCGCGAAAGGAACGATTTGATAACGCAAATGAATTCATCTCAACAAGACTAACAAAAAAAGATAAGTGTGTTATAGTCTCGGACTCGAAATTCAGCGGAAATCGTGGTCAGAGGTCCAAAAAGGTAAATCATACTTATTTAGACTTCTTAGGCCGATTGCTGTTGAATGTCGAGAGCCCATAAAATGCTGCTTAACATTTTTTGGTAGTCTTGTTTAGACGAATTCATTTCCGTTATCGAATCGTTCCTGTCGCCATTTAGAAATTAGTCTATATTTTACAGTTACACCGAAGGCAGAGTCTGGACAGTTCCCACGGTCCAGTGGCTGCGGGCTCCAAGGGTACAGTGAACGTTGTTCCTTGAGCCACAGTGTCTACTGTATCCCACGGTACGGCAATCACCTTCTTTCGAAGAACAGTGAAATGAAGAGTGGCATTAATGCCACAATCTTCAATATTTCTCCCAGTGTGCAAAAACATGGACGCTCACAGAAAAGAAGCATTCCATTGCATAACTCCGACCAACTCCACAACACCCTGGACCGCAGGCTGGAACCAAGGTCACGGTCATAGGATGAGATAATGACCCCAAAACCACTATCACGACCTTGGATACACCACACCAGCTTGACCAGTAGATGCAATCTCACAAGCTAATCGGAATCAAAATGATCTTTTAAGGGTACCTACGCTGAATAAGAAATCGTTAAAAATCCAACAACACCGAACAAACCTAGCAAGTGGTCGGGAGTTAAAAACTTATAAATACATTGTTGGCTGAGCGATGGCGAAGCCCGTTACTACTCCAGTGGGGTTAAAAAACTTTTTCTGTCTGCGCGTGTGCGTGCGGGTGTGAGTGCAACACTCCTCCTGAACGGCTCGGCCGATTCCGCTCAGATTTTGCAGGGTCATCAGGTAAGGGAAGGTGGGGTACCATGTGACACGGCCACCGTGTGACTTTGGCTTTTTCTCCCAAACGGCTTGCTATCCAACAGCGGTAAGAAGACTCAAAGGAAGGTATCATGAAGGAGAATCGACGTGCAATAGGTCGTGACTCTCCTTCGAAAAGGACGGGAATGGTAACGATCAGAATTGGAAACCGTCTTAAAATATCTCATTGGAAACTTTTTCTATTTCCCGCCGCGTCCGCTTTTTACCTTTAAAATACATTTTAAGGACATATGCTCTGCAAGATGTTCTTCTTTGATGTTTTAAGCGCAAAATAAGCTTTGGCTCGATTCTCTACGGCATAAACTTTGAGCGTTATTGCTGTTTCCCCTGAAACTGTTGATCTGGGCACCATGTGACACCACTGTCATTCGCTATGGGATTCCACGATTCACTCAGTTGAATGTGTTCAGTCTATGACATTTGTACACTAGTAACTAAAACCTTTATTGCTCGGGAACCAAAGATCATAAATTGATAAACTCAACGGAAATAAAAAGCTGGAAGACTTCTTCGCTCATTCTCTGCGTGTAGGTACGCTGAATAGGATTTAAACCCTGACAAAAGGCCACTGTCACATGGTAAACTATGGCTGTCACATAGTGTACTACGTGGGGTACGAAGTGACACTTTGACTTTGCCCATTCAACTCGCGATAACTCAGCAACCAAAACAGATAAATTAGAAATCTCAACAGAAATTATAAGGTGAAGAATCATTTTGTTCACATGTCTACTTATGGATGTAATGTGATTGGTATTATTGGGTTGACGGGCATTTAACAAAAACCGTCACATGGTACTCCACCTTCCCTTACGTTCTTGGCTCGCCACACACCAAAATTCAGCTTTCGATCTCAATAAATGTGGTCAGCGCAGACAAAAAAAAAACGTAAAAACGGCAAAGAAGTAACTTTGTACTATCATATGTAGTCACGCACTGTGGCAAAAAGCTACGGAAAATTCTGTTAACGGCTTGTGGTAATACTCCGCAGCCCCCTTATCAATTTTCTCCGTAGGACCTAACAATGATCTCCGTAGGACTATAGAGTCTTCCAGGTCCTACGGAGAATACTCTGAAAAATTAACAGAATTTTCCGTACCTTTTTGCCACAGTGCGGTCTTACAGCATCACCTCATGTTTTGGAGCGTGCTGAAAATGAAAACAGAGTCGATTTCAACCCCCAACCCAGTCTTTAGACCTAAAAGGACAAAAGTTGGCCAGAATATTAGTAAGAACGTTCCTAGTGTTGATCAACGAGCAATAACTGGCTTATGAAGCAGTTGAGTTGGTGAAGTTGTGATTTGAGAAGAGGTGAAGTAAAGTACAGTGAACTGACGAGTAGTTAGGTGACGTGGTAGTGCAATCATGGGGCTTAAGGCTCGCAAAAACATTCTGCAGCGTAAAAAGGCGGTGCGGGTGAACAAGCCTAAAGCGACGCAGAGCCCTGTGTTCAACCGAGGCCGAAGCTTCAGCAGCCAGAGCCAGCAGGACATTCTAAATGTCTACAATTATTTCCAGGTGGAACACCTCAACGGTGAACACGACGTCTCTGCCTTCAGGTATGTTGTCTAACATTTTGGTGAGTGTGGGCGGAAGAACGAGTGAGTGAGTGACTGAGTGAATGAATGGATGGGTGTGTACAAGAGGGGATCTTGAGACGGCAATAGACCCTTTCAGTCTTCGCCGAGTGAAGAACAAATGTAATCAACAATCCAGAAACCATTAGGAACGTTCTTACTGGTTCCTGGGTTTATTGTTACTTTTGCTCTTTACTCGGCGAAGACTGAAAGGGTCTATACAAATATGTTTGAAATCTTCCGCAACAAGTGCACCACTCTAGCTCCAACTGAAATTTCTGTGAGTTTCCCAGACAGTTTGCCGTAGGCAAGCAGGACGCGTCGCAGGCCAGGGTAGATTGTACCGCAAGGCGTGGATTGTCGTAACTGGCGCAGCATCGCGAAGCCTGTTACGTCAAGACGCGGTCTGGCGTACACCTACTTGGTGCGAACGCATGTTTCGTTCCAGCACAAGACGTCAACCTTCCACACGAACTTAAACTTTGTCTAGGCCTACAGGCGGATCATCCCGAATTTGTTCGGCGTTGTAGAACGTGAAGATGACAACAAGGTAGGTGTACGCCAGACCGTGTCCTGACTTAATAGGCTTCGCGATGCTGCAACAGCAACGGTAATCCGCGCCTGGCGTTTACACCTATGTTGGCCTGCGGCGCTTCCTATGCACAGTGCGGCCAAAAGGCGAAAAGTGCGACATGGCCCTTTCTGCGGTTTTTTCGATTTATGAGGACAAGGGATTATGGTTTATGGTGGAAAAAGTGGTTTCCGATCAAAACCTGGTCATATAGGGGTCAAAAACTGTAAAAAACGCAAAAAAGGCCCCAAAACGCCCCAAATTCCACCATTTTTTACTCGTTTTTTGGCTCTCATAACTACAATTTTGTGAATCCGAAACTTTTCTAAGCAGATTCTGAAAGCTAAGAATGAGACCTACAAGTTTGTCTAAGGGGTCGACACTGTAGCGAGATCGGCTATTCGAGATATTTGGCCTCAAAGATTTTTACATTCCATCACTTCCACTAAAAATGCCAGTTTTTACTCGTTTTTTGGCTTTTCCAAGAGCAATTTTGTGAATCCGAAACTTTTCTTGACAGATTCTGAAAGCTAAGAATGAGAACTACAAATTTGCTTAAGGGGTCCAAACTGTAGCAAGATCGGCTGTTCAAGATATTTGGCCTCAAAGATTTTTATAATTCATCATTTCCACTAAAATGTCAGTTTTAACGAGGATTGTACAAATTACAACGAGGCCTGGGCTGCACTGCACTCGTCATGCTGGTTCTGTTGTGCTTTGTACAACAAGTCTCATACTTTAAAAGAACAATAAATACCGATAAAAAAATTTCCAGGATATTTTGTAGGTTTGTTATGGTTTTTGGCCCGTCCCGTGTATTTTTTGTAAAAGA